ACGCGGATCCAGCCTCACCTTCTGTTGAAGTGAGAGGGCGACAACAGTTGGAGGAAGACGAGCTAGTGCCGCGCCAACCCCTTCCCTCTACTGCCCCAGCTTTTGCAGCAAATCGACTGTAGCCATCAGTGGCGCCCTGGCGTTCCCTTTTGTGCCCGTAAACGCAGCAGCACAAGTTGGCCGCAAGTCCACTAGCGTGACGCAGAGTGAGAGAGACCTCAAAACTGATTTAGGCGAATAATATTCGACTACATAGAACTGAAGCGTGACAGGCCATGGTTCAGTATGTATTTCTCAGTCCTTGGGCTTATTGGGAAACTGTTCAAGTAAGTCTTTTTTCATTACGACAGCTGCTATTTGTCACCTCATTTTGCGGTGTGAAACTCGTCGCGAGAATGCTGAGTCATGGGCAAAACCAGGAAGGACACAAACTGCACATCATGCTTACCGGGCTGATGTCCTTGTCACCAGAGCCGTCCTCCTCCCTCGAGCTAAGCAAAGAGAAAGTGCGCAGTCACCTCCATGGTCCTGGTCTTTGCGGGGATGAGATGTGGATGGGCCCACAGCTTAGCTTCCACACGAGGTTTGCAGAGGTTGTAGGGTACCGGTGCTCGACTGCCATCTCCATAGTCCTCCCGGTTGCCGCAGGTAGTTACCCACCAAACCATAGCCAAGCGCGCTGCATGTCTGCACCCTCTCACTTCCGGTTGTTCTCTACCTCTGATAGCGTGTTCGGGGTATCGACGTAAACGCTTCGGCTTGAAGATTACCAGGCCAGAGTCCGCAAACGGGTACTACCACACCCCAGCCCCGAACCTGAGCGGAGAAAAGCAGCTGCACCAGCTCGCTCACTCAACACACATCGCAAGGACCGTTCCTTGGGGTGAGTGCAGTTTGTTTTTGAGTTGAGAGGTGAAATGTCGCCCCGCCTGCGCAATGAAGGCACAGGGGGAAATCGGACACTGCGCGGGATTGCTGCTCTCCAGCCTAGCACATTAGTTCGGCATCTGTGAGGTTGAGGTCTGATTCCTGCCAGGTGTGAAGTCTTTGCTCATAACTCTAGCAGCAGCATAACAATCTCGCAGTTACTCATCTGTTCCAGGAGTGAAGATGTGAAGTATTTTACTTATGCCATCGCATTGTATTACAAATATAAACCAGTGGATTGGATACTTTACGATGTTGAACATGGTCGTTATTGTGCTCCCGAGTACAACAAAACTACATGCAACAAAGTAGGTGAAATGATGCTTTGAGTTTTTGAGGGATTATAGGCACGGTCCGCAAGAAAAAGCCTAGGTGATGTTGCAGAAATATAGAAGGGAATCGTCTATGAGGAGAAAATGCTAAAGGGAACGTTGGAAACGCATTTGTCAGGTCTCCTCTAGCCTCAAACAACTGTGGAGGTAAAAGACCGCGGGCTGGGACGACGGCTGCTTCCCAGTAATGAACCCTATGACTCTACAAGAGACAATGATTTGCATCAAATTCATGATAGCTTGCCCGCGAAGCATACTCTCTTTTGCTGGTAAGGCGACTCTGAAGTGCGTGAGCTGTAGACGAGTCACGACTCAAAAAGGATGAACACTGAAGCACTTTGCGACCCTTACTTCTTTTACAGTACAACTTTCCCCGCAAACTTAGCACACGGAAAGTCTACTCTGACGCCGCTACTACCTCCCACATAACCTCTTGCATTTATTCGTAAGTCCATCGCGGACCGTTCCTGTAATGGTAACGATGATTTGTTGCTTGCTGTGCCCAAAAATCTAAGCATGCGTGTATGTTGGGAGGCCAGCATGCCACGATAAAGCGAAGTTAACCTGCCGAAACGCCTGCGAAAGCGTTCTGCAAGGCCACTAGCCAACCGTTCTCTTGGACGAGTTCTTTGGCATCGCCTGGTCGCACAACCCATGATATGAAAAATTTTCCATGTTTAGGCTCTTAAACAATGTCGAGTTATGGTCGCTCCACCGTTATTTCAACATATTGGCAGAGTATCGTCATTACAGGGGAAATCTCAGAAGTTGAAGGAACGTTTCTATCAAAAGCATAATTTCAAGGTAAACACAACTTTTCATCAACAGTAGAGCTCAGATCCTTAGGTCGTAAAACGAGAGGCCAGCTATTGCCTATTCTTGTCGTGAAGAATGCTTATATGTGTATCTCAGTGACTTTTTGAGTAGTCCAAATACATGCTATCAAAGACGTTTCCTCGATAATCGTAGAGGAGGATAATTGGAACTGTCGCGCCACCGCCACTCGTCATCCTTGATCTTACGATAAAAAACACGGGAGAGCGACGAAATGTGAGCACGGCCCATTTCTCCGCCCATTCGATTATCGCGGACTGTGTTCTTAAGTGCTATATTATAGTGCAAAATGTATTTGAACTGAGACCATTTTGGAATAGTTAGGTTCCATACTTTAGTCGAATCGTGGCAACCCGCCAGCAGTTATCACGACAACAATGAAACCCTATCAGCGACATACAGCTAAAGCTGGGTACGAAAATGAGGGGTTCATGTGGTTCATGGATGTTCGCAAGGGTGACTACCTGCGAATCGATTTCGATGTACCTGCAAAAATCGTTGGTGAGCTTTGCTTTGAGCTTGTTCCTCAAATTCATGCCTTGCTTAAAAGGACAGTCCACGCTGACCATGATGGGCGGAGACGCCCAACCATTTTCTCCTACTTATCAGCGCACTTCTCTCCACCGTGGAAGAAGTAAGGCGTATCAAAAAAGGCGCTGACTGTCTCCTCCCACACAATCAGCGCGAACTGTGTCCTCGATTCTTCAACCCTTATGAACAAAATTTTCCGTGATCATATTTTTTGACTACTGCAGAAAGTGGCTCAACTCGGAACCTCTTGCCATCTCAAAGGCTCCGCCTACTCATGTGCCCACTCATCAGAGGAAGGGGCGCGACCCGGAGCGTTACATCGAGAAAACAATACCACTGGTGCCAGTCAATAAGATGGTCCAAGGGCTCCTTTGCTAGAGGACTAGTCGGCTGTCGAATTCTCATTGATGCAATGGGCTTCTTCCATTGCATCAATGAGAATCAGTGGTGGAATGGACGAGGGTATGATCCAGTGAAATGGGGGTATGACTCAACACCAGAGACGCTGAATTGCCACCATCCCGTCTGTCGACCACTGGCCGTCTCTGAAGGCAGTCGGGCACGATGGCTGGGGCGGGCAGTCACTGCCAACATCACTGGTGGAATGGCTGAGTAGGGTGTGGTCAAGGCCGTCTCATAGCCATTCCACTAAGGGTGGCAGTAACCACCGCCGTTTAAGCCAACGTGACCAATGCCAGGCTTTATTTCTTGGAAATCTGATGGCTTTTGTATCCCATAGCCTTGTATGAGTTTGATTTAGGGATTCTTATAATCAGCGGTGTGGCACCAGCGCCGCTTGACCAGTTCGGCCCAGAAACCGAAGTCTACGTCACATACTCGGATGGCGACCATCGTATGCTGGGCAGATTCTCTAGAGCAGGAGATTTTGTAGCACATCTTGATGGACGAGAGGTCTCAGCGTTGGAATTACGAGTAACCGATGATAAGGAGCTCTGGGTAATCGTGGGCTATTTCATTATAGATGTAATTGATGATCAAAACCAAACTTTGAAATGACTTAAAAGGAGCTCATTGTCTCGCCTAATTATTGTTAAGAGTTAGACTTTTCACTAATTTTCACTTCATTGACTAAGTCGTTTGGGCTTTACCTAATTTATCCAAGCGGTTTACGAACTGTAAATGCTTTGTAGATACTCATCGTATTTCCCTGTTCTCATTTTAAGCAAGAGTTGTTCTTAATTGTTTTCTTTGTTTATTATTTATTAACTGTTCTGAGGTCGCCTAGAAGGTCTTGCCAGTTTTCCGTAATCCTACACGCCTATTCTAACCTCCCTTGCGCAATGTTTTTGATTCGGGAAGATAATTAAAAAGTCCCCCCCCCCTCCTGAGTAGGGAA